TTGCACCTCTCTTATAAACCCTGCCTTCAAAAGTTTATCCACATTGGATGCTATAACTTGTTGTCTCTCTAGGCCATGATTCCATATTTTTTTGCTTAATCGGTTTAAAGCTTGGGTCCATACTGAGCTTGTGGGATATGGTATCAAGATTGATACCAACTATGTCTTCTGCAGTCCAGGCGAAGCTATTAACATTATCCTCCAAAACCGTCTTAATATTGTTCTATACCTCTCTCGATAGATCAGCTCCCAACTTTAAGTTCTTCCCCAGTTTCACCTCCCATATGGTAAGCTCGCCCACAGGTGTTGGGCCGAAATCTACATTATGTCTGGGAATGTCAAAGGGTTACCGTGTAGTTGATTCTGTGGGTGGTTCTTCCTCTGGCATCCACATGATTGGCAGGTCAAGAGGCAACCCTTTCAGTGCTATCATGTATGCTTTCCGAGCTACTTTCTTGTCTCCCCTAATAGTGATGACTTCGCCCTTATCAAAGTAAAACTTCATGGTGAGATACCTGATGCATGTGGTCGCTTCCAGTTCATATAGGGCTGGCGTGCCCAATATGGCATTGTATGGAAAATGAATGTCTGCTACCATAAACTCCAACTTTAGTTTCCTTGATGAGACTTCGATTTCAAGCTCTAGGGTTACGTCTATGGATCCAGACACTTATACAGGTTTTCTTGCTAAGCCGACTAAAGGGGTTCAGACATGTTTAAGCTTTGTCTAGTCTAATTTCAAAGCCCTGAATACTTCTATAGTCAACAAGTTCACTGCACTACCTTCATTCACCAAGATTCTTTTCACTAGAAAGTTTTCCAAAATCCCCTTAATCACTAGGGCATCATTGTGTGGGGCATGTACAAGCTCACCATCGGCTTCAGAAAATGATATGGGCAATCTAGTGTTCAGTTTCTACTGGGGTAGAATGGAATAGATTTCCCTGGCTCTCTTTTTTTCTAGCTGAGTTGTTGTTCCCCCTGATGAACCACCAAATATACTGTGGATCGTGCCTAGAGTGTGGCACTCTTTCACCTACTTGTCCTTCTGTTTGCTTTCCTTCCGAGCTCTCCCAATAAATTGCTTCAGTTCGCCTCTTTGCACAAGGTGTTTGATCTCTTTCTTTAATTGCCAATAAACCTCAGTCTCGTGGCCCACATCCCTATGGAACTCACAATACTTGCCCTTATCTTAATGACCTGAGGTATCTTCCTTCATCTTTTTAGGGTAATAGAACTGGATTTGGTCGCTCTGTCCTCTCACCCAAGACAATATTTTCGAGAACGGTCTGTTCAAAGGGTAAATTCCCGGTCTTGTTGCGATCCGTCATCTCTTGAGTATGGCGTTCTAACGGAGTAACTGGTTCATGGGAGTCGGATGGGCGATCTCCTTCGGGCGATCATCTCCTTATTGGGAAGGGATGTCTTCTGTGCCTATACTTCTCTTCCTTAAGCGGTCTACGTTGCTGGGCCTCATAGGCTTCATCCAATTTTGTGTACTTGTGAGCTCGTGCCATGAGTTCAGCTAAGGTTAGGGGAGGGTCTATGCTTAAACTCTCAAACAGTTTGCTCTACTTGTAATTCTTTGACATAGCACTAATGGCCAGCTCATCATTCAAGTTCTCCACTTGCATCGCCATTCTTTGAAATTTGAGTACATATTGCCTTAGGGTCTCTCCTTCCTCTCTTTTTAAATCTATCAGGTCAGAGTATTTTTCTGGATGGTACACATGTGATGAAACGAGCTCAAAATATTATGGCCAATTGGGAGAAGGAATGAACGGATCCTATTTTGAGCATTTGATACCAGTTTTGAGCTGCTCCTTTCACGGTAGTTGGGAAGACCTTACACATCAGATCCTCTGAATTGTTTTGAAGATACATCACAGTTCGAATCGCTAGGTGGCTTCGAGGATCGATAGATCTGTCATATGATTAGAAAGTAGGAAGCTTGAATTTTGGTGGAAAAGCTACAACCAAAATATTAGCTGATAATGGCGAGTCTTGTCGGAGACCATAACCCCCTATTTCTCCTATCTCTCTACACTCCCGAACCAGTTCCTTAATAATATTCCAAAGATTAGCACCGTCCAAAATTGACTGGGTGTGACTTAGCTCTTAGCTGCTGGGGCTAGTCGCACTAGTGTCCACCTCCGATTCCACCTCATGGTATTGATCAAGTACTGAATGACTTCGGTATTTAAGTGAAGTTGGAAGGGAGGGGGGGCTAAGTTCTTGGTAGGGAAGGTTTACCGACCTGATGGATGGTATTAGCTCGCAGCTAGGTTGAGGTTTTTTCAAGAGGCGTTTTAGCACAGTGGTGAACTACGAGTAAGCCTGAGCTAGAGCAGCTGCTACCTGCGGATTATGTAAATTTAATATTATATTTGATATGCTTGCTTAGACCATCGATTCGGTGCCGATTAATGTAAACATATTAATATTATAATTTGAAATAATATATATCATATAATATATATCATATTTATATATATATAATATAAGTGATTTGAAAAAAGAGTGAATTGTTTATAAATTTATAATGAATGTAATTATTATTATTGTTTGCTTATAAATTATACATCAACTCATACTTTTTATTTAAAAATAATTTAATATAATTAAACAAAATATTCATTTTTTTATTGTTAACGAGTGAAATTATGAGTATAGAAAGAATGTGAGCTGATGATACTTATTTCTAAATATTAATTATTATTATTATTTTGTTATAAAATTATACATCAATATACTTTTTAATTTTAAAAATAATTTATTAATAAAAAATATTCATTTTTTTATTGTTAAAGTGAAATTATAGTATAGAATTGTGAGCTGATATATTATTTTAATATTTGATAAATTTTGCTTAATTATAAATAAATAATTACAAAATAAAAGAAAACATCATGTTTAAAAGTCGAAAAAATGTTTGAACCGAGTTTATCCGATCCAACCATGACACCCCAGTTTGATATGGATTCAGGTAAAAAAAAAAAAGGTATTAGATGAAACAGTAACCTAAATAGCACTTGTAATAAATGAGCATAAAAATGAAGCTTTTTACAAATATGGTGTTTGAAAAAAAAAATTGCAGAAAATAGTGACCCCAAAAGTATTTACGAATACAGTATTTTATTGACATTTCAAAAGCATTTGTTACACTTTAAAGGTAACAAATGCATTATTACAGTTTGAATGTAACAAGTGCATTATTATATTATGACAATAACAAAAGCAACAAGTTCGTTTTCTTTAATGTTGTCCAACAGCTTTATCACACAAATATTCTTTCTCCCTCACTTCTTGTTAAATGTTACACTATAAATATAACAATGTTAGAATATATTTTATGCCTCTTGCTTTTTTGAGATCCTTATGTGAAGAATGAGATTCCTATGTGCAAATTCATATGTGCTAGGTGTAAAATAAATCGTAACTTGAGACGTATAAGAGCACTGTCCTAAAAGGATTATCTCGCAATCAAAGAGATAAAACAATACGAAACCCTTCCCAGGATTTAACAGGTTCTTCTGAATTAATTTTTCAGGTAAACAGGAATAGGTTCTTTTGAATTAATTTTTTAGATAAACAGGTTCTTCCCAAGATAATACTACCCTGTAAAGGATATTGGAAAATATTTTCAAAAATGAAAAAACTGTTCCATCAAAACTCACCAACGTTCATATCAAAACATAAAGTCAAGCCAATGTTGCACAAATCAAGCGAAAATCAAGTGAATATGATATGAAGGCTAAAATCAAAGATAAGACGATATTTTGAGAAAATATTAAGTAATGAAAAATATCTTGAATTGGGCCTCACGATCCATGCTTGGAGGGGGGAGGGGGAAATCCACTGGCTAGCACTAGAATTGGAATCTTTGGTTCAATCTTGTGCGCGTGAGCCCAACCCTTACTACACCTTTTACTAGCACAATGACAAACACTTATTAATAAACTACTTTAAAGGCTCCTACATAAGTGATATGGGATCTTTTGAAATACACTACAGTTAACTTATAACACTAGGTGCAATTGTTACACTATAAGTGTAAAAACCTATAAACTATTGCTAGTGTAACAAGCTATAAAGATAAAACACAAATTGTATCATCGTATAGGTTTTATTACATAATTTAAACTATGCATGTGAACAAAAAAGGAGAAATGAGCGATTTGATGTATTAAATTATGTAAGATATGGTATTATTATTGGGAAGAAAAATATTATTGTGTAAGAGGTGGTATTATTAAAGAGAAGAAAGATGTCTAATGTGATTGTGGGAAGAATCTTTGCTATATTTATCCCGTGAATGTTTGAAAGTGAAAATGCTTATATATTTCTTACTTATAGTCTTTACTTCTCCTTCATTTCTCTTTCTTCCTTTATAATTTAACTATCCTCAGTAAAGAAAAGCTATCCATCATAAACTAGTTCATATTGCTCAATAAGTTGAAATATTTGTGACATTTGGTAAGGGTTAAATTTTTATTTATTAAGAGATTTCTCTAAACGGTTCTTCATGCCTTTTAACTTTGACTTTTTAAATTATTACACTTATAGTGCAATAATGTGTCCTTCAATATGTTCCCTAACTTGTGTGCAATAATGTTTTTAATGTGTTCTCTAACTTGTCACATCTGTGTCTGACATTTTTACACTATAAGTATAACTTAAAATAAAGACAGAACATAAAGAATATTTGTCCGGTGAAGCTGTTGGCCAACATAAAAATAAAATTTATTACTTTTGTTCATAGTGCAACAAGGGATAGTGTAACACTTGCTTTCGAGATGTCAACAAAACACCATATCCGTAAATAGTATTTGGAAAACACTATTTCCGTAATTAGTTTTTTTCCTAAATACCATTTTTGTAAATAACCCATAACAACATTTCCTCGAAATTGCTCTACACTTTTTATCCGCTCCAGCGCAAAATCCACTTTTAAGTTTAAACTCGTGATATTCCTAAATTAACAGCCAATCCATGGAATACTTTCCCAGGACTAGAGTGATCGACTGAGGGCATAAACGTAAAGACACGACAATTTTGAAACCAGAATGCCAAAAGAAAAAAGAGGCGGGCTCCCTCTCTTCCTCTCACTGTCTCACATCCTGATCCCTGTGTCTGAAAAGTGAAAACTTGAGACAGTTTCTCTCTCTAAAGATCATCTGAAAGGGAAGACGCGAATTCGCCTAGAGGTATTTAACATCGATTTCATTTCAATTGCTGTAATGTATGCGTGTGGCTTCGTCGAACTTTTACTATTGAATTCAAAACCCCAACGAAAGTATTTTAGGTTTGAAGAATGAAGAATTAAGCTTCTTCGATTCTTCTATCAATTCAAAAGAAATTGCTCTTCTTTTAGAAATTCAATCCACTCGTCTGTAGAGAAAGAAGAAAACGATTATGAAATGCTGAATTTTTCTTTAATTTTAGGTAAAACAATAATAAATCACTATAATGAGATCAGCTGCAAAATACAAGACCGACCAGCAAGGAAGCAAAATGGTAGCTGCCACTGTCAAGGTTATTTTTGCACAAACTATGATTATTTCTGCATTTATTGATTCATTTTTTTTCCTTTCTTTCTTCATTCTATTTTTTGCTGAACTCGTGGTTTCTTGTAAATTTTTAGAGAAAAGCTCAAATGGGCACCAATCGGGTTTCTGAAGGTGCCAACTGTCTCAACACTGACTAGGGTTTTATTCCTTTTATTTGAACTTATAATTTTAGATTCTTGAATGCTCGCTTCGCCTTTTCTTTTAAAATTTACTTTTGATGCAGTTGGTAGGAATTTTAAAGTTTATTCAGATAATGAAAAGGTTAAGCTTGATGCCACTAGCATGTAAGTGTAACTTGTGTTGTTTTCTTTTATTATGAGCTGTGGATTAGTAACTTATCTTTTTTTTTTTTTTTTTTTTTTTTTTTTTTTTTTTTTTAAGACTGCCATCATTACAATGGGGCTACTAAAGGCCCATATTTTCCAGCCGGTTTCTGAAGGTGCCAACTGCTTCTCAACCATCACACATAGACTCCGAGGTTCACCTGGTGATTTCGATTGCCCTTGGTTGGGCACTCTTAACTGAACTGCGTCTCGAATTAATTTTTAGTTTAGTTTACTTCTCTGTGAAACAATGCTCGCTTTTCGTTCACCCTTTTTCTTTTTAAATCTTACTTTTGATGCAGTTTGGTACACGGCAAGTGTTTACCGAGACATCATATTCCTGTCAGCTATTCCTAAGTGGGAAAATGATAAATGGGAGGTTATTTCTATGCGTTGACTTCTGAATAGGTTGCCCCACAGACACGTTTAACTCAGGAGGCTATGTGTTATTACGCTGGGATTATGAGGTGGATAATAGGGTTTGTTGTTTTTTTGGCTTAGTGGGGTCTCATTACTTTCAGTATGTATGTTGTCATTGTTTGGTGGAGTGTTTTACGGTGTTTAAACCTTTTTATCTTTCTCTCTTGTTTTGTGGCTTGGTTTGATATATTAGCTATTTTCTTGGTTGTCTCTTTTCTTTTAATGTTTCTGGTGGGTTTTAGGTTTTTTATTTTTTTGCGGTAGATTCTATTTAGAGAGGTGTTAGCCATGGTAGGGTGTGATTATTATGATATTTAAATAATTTTTTGGATTTTTTCTAAATGTTATTATTGGATGATATTGTGATATTATTAATAGGTTATTAATACTTAGCAGGAGTCCCTAAAATTATTACCATTATCATTACAAGAATTAGGAGTTGCCTCCTAGAATGAGTGGCATTTAAAATTTCACAAGAAAAATCATATGTGGACAAGAGTGAGGTAATTTATAATTTAAGTGTAATTAGCTCTATGCACTCTAAGGTTCACAAATTAGAATCTTTATTTTGTTGTTTATCCAGAGTTGCATAATATAAGTAGTAGATATGGTGGAAGAAAATGGTTCATAAACTAAGTAAATTTGACTTGATCTCCATCAACTTGGACACTTGCAAAAACCTTGGGTCGCTTAGACGCGTCATATTTTACAGAAATTACAGGTTACTTGATTATTTCTTATTCTTGGAATTAGTTATCTGAATTTCGTTACCATGTGATGTTACCGCAGTGCATATTGATCAAAGATTTGCTTTGTTTAAGGGTATAAGAAGCAAAGACCAAGTTTCAATATTTTCTCGTTTTTGTTGTTTTTTTTTTTTTTTTTTTTTTTTTTTTTTTTTTTTTTGCGGTAGATCTATTAGAGAGAGCCTGATAGTTTTGATTTTTTCTAATGTTATTATTGGATGATATTTTATAAAAGGTTATTGGGGCCACTTAACAAAGGTGCTCATGTGGCTACTGCAAGTGATTCTAAGGTAATTATGCTTTCATTCTTTTGTTGACGCTTTGTAGTATTTGGCAAGAATGTAAATAAGTTCTTTAAACTTGCAGCTCTTTTTAAGAACTCGATCTTATAGTTATCTGAATTTTAATGTGAAGGGGCTTTCAAAGTTTGCAGAGAAGAGCAAAGACAAGTCTGTTAGATCTTGTATGCTTTTAGTTTAAGCTTCAAATTTTTGGTGTAGACAATTGAGTTGTAATTCTTTCAGACCATAGTTGTTCGCTTATATTTGTCCTTTTCAGCAAATCAAGATCTCAATGTTAGAAGAAAAGCACTGGCTGATGTAACTAATGCCCAAAGCAGCAGCTTCTCAAGTAATGTTATGTTTGATGGCTCCAAACCAATGTGAGTGTCTCTATATGAAGTATATGAGATGAGTACTTATACACGCTGTTTTGGATGTGTATTGTTCACGAGATGATAGGATGTTTATGCTCTTGCACGGGTCACAGTTTCCAAGATTGCTATTATTTAGGTTTTTGAGATTGAAAAGCATTATCAGCTTTAGAATATTTGACGATTATTGTTAAACTTTTTGAACAAGATTAATTTATGAAATACAAACTAAGCGCATTTGGATATGCATGTTTGCTAGCAAAAACCCCTTTCTTGTTCTCTTGCTTTTGAGTTTTGAGGAAAATAATTAAGAGATGTTTTGTTATATTTTACAGTGTATTATCAAAACTGGTAAGCTACATATGAAGTGGATGGAGCCATATCTGTTCCTTCTCTTTTTCTTGTCTTTACTTTGGAAAAAATAATTTCATCTATGCATTATGTGTTTGAGCAACATTTTCCTTTTCCAAGTTAAGATGGCATATAAATTATGTATAGATGGCTAAGGTTGAGAATTTTTTCATATTTCATTTTCTTTCAATTTTTCTCTTATGTATAATGCTGGTTAATGTTGACAGTCCTCTTTGTTTATCATCTATCCTTCTAGGATTCCAGTGGGTTCAGAATCTAGGGCTGTGAAATTTTCCTCGAGAAAATGTACAATTTCAATGGTATGGAAAACCAATGAGTCGTATAAATGGTTTATTTATTTTAATTTATTTTTAACTTATTTTAATTTATTTTTAACTGTATTTTATTCTTCTTTTGGATGTTCCATTTCATTGATTATACTGTCATTGTCTGTCGTTATCAGTTGGTAAAGTAGCAATGCTGAAAAGTCCTGTTGGTTAATCCTTTTCTTTGAAGCTGCCTATTGTGAAAAAGTATATAGTCAAATTAGCAACATGATTTACATCGAACTTCTATACCCAATAATGCTTTCCTTAAGCTTCAACTAAGAACTTATTTCGCCTTCTTGTTCTCATTTTCTTTCTTCCAATTTTAAAAAAGTTGACTATGATGCAATTACGGTGTTTATACTTATGAGTTCGCATAAAAATGGTTCTTTTTTACTCTGATTGTTGATTATCTGCATCATGTGAGCTGAATAGTGAAAAATTGCTGTAATGGCTAGTAAATCTCATGGTTACATATTTAAGAAGTGCTGATAGTTATTTTTTTTCCTTCCTGTTTTCAACTTAGGGAAGAAAGAATACAAGTCAAAGATTCAGTGACATTCGTGCTACAAGGAAAGGTGACTTGCCATAGATGTTCTGTAGGAAGTTTTTAATTACGCTTATGCATTGCCTTCAGTTCTAACTGCTTCTGGACAATAGGTGTTAAAAATTTAAGTGGCCCCTCAGATCATAAGATGACCAACATGAAGAATCCTGGCCATGCAGCTGCTGTTGATAACCAAAGGTATTTGTAGTTTTGTTTGTTATTGATATTGAAATATTTGCACTCTGGAATAGGGCTGAAATCTTCTTGTACTGATGACACTTGTTGCAACTATCTTGTGCAGCAAGATGTTTACTGAACTTCTTTGTGAAAAGTTTCTAACTGATATTCTTTTACCTGTCAGGAGTTCAAGGAATTCACTTGTGTCGACAAGGTTTGTGAATCTGTACTTGATTTTAATTTTGCACTACAATGCTGAAACATTGCTGCTTGATGCGAGTTTTTGTTATCCATTTCTACTTGAAGGAAGTCTAGATCAATGTTAGTGGCAGCGAATCGAGGAGATACAAGTAATATAAAGGTTGTTATTATCTCATTATCTACATCATTTTTTTATTCTCTAGAAAAAAGTATTTTCTTTTCTTTTATTTCTTTCTTCCTCTTTTTTTTTTCTTTTTTTTTTTTTGGTTTTTGTTTTTTATTTTTTATTTTTTTGCATAACTACTATATAATGGATTGCAAATATTGTGTATAACTTCTTGATTTCTCATTTTGGGTTTTTCTGATTATTAGCATCTTTTATTTTTCTATCTTTATTTTGCATGTAGAACAATGATGAAGGTTCAGAGAAATCTAAGAGAAATAGTGGGCTCTCCGGTATGATGCAGTGATCTATCTTTCTATAGTGCATTACCTGGCAGTTAACTGAAGGAGATGTGTGTATTTTTCCTTTTACATTTGTTTTCTATCTTTTTTTGGCTTCAGGTAAGGTTAAAGTGAGTAAGGACGTAGTGCCACAAGTAAGCATTCGTAGAAGTTATCTACGGAGGAACAGAGTGAGTGATGGCTTCTTGACAAGGTGAGGAACAGTGATTTGTGAAATGTTAGATGTAATTTATTATCTTGCAGTTGCAGATATTGCAACTTGTTCCATGGCTTGTATTCACACGCACAAAATTGCAGCAATATTTCTTGACATTTAGTTTATTTTAATGTTTGTTGTGTTTCTATAGATTAAACCTAATAGCCTACTTAAAAATCAAAGCATAGTATCACAAACACAGTTACTTATACAAAGACTCATGCTTTATCCTCTGTGAACAGTTTATATGTCATTAAAATTTTCTTTGCCTTTTGTACATCATATGTCATTGTATGACATCTTAAGATAACAAGCCATAGCATAACATCATAAAGACAATTATGTAAAAATTACCATTGGCCATACTTTATCTTTAAACTGTAAGCAATTTATTAGTTCTACTTTGTTGAATCCGAAATTAAGATGATTTCTCGGTTTTTACAAGTTGTGATTGTACAATAATGAGAATAATTAGCTTGCATATTTAGGACTGGGGCTCCTAGTGATCAAACAGACGTGAAAACTAATGGTTGGTCCAGAAAATTTATCAAGGTATGTGGCATTTCTTATTTCCCTTCTCTGCTCTTGTTTCTTTTCAACCAGTTCTAATTCATGTTTGCTACATTAGCATAATAGCAACGTTGTTTGTTGTTATTCGTCATTGGTTTCATTGAAAGCAATTTATTGCTGGTCCCTTGATGTCTTTAAACTTTTCAATACATAGTGTGAATTGGAATGTATTTCACTCAATCATCATATTGTAGAAGGAACATTCTCAGGATTAATTGTAGTGGAAATCTTAAATTGTTATGGAACAATTCAAATAAAAAAAGTAACATTGGTTTCTCTGTTGTCCAATTCTATGATAATGCAGTAACGAGTACTCAAACAATGAATTCTTGTTACCAAGCGCCTTGAGATTAGGAATGTTTAGCAAAGCATATTAGACTTCTTGGTGCTAATATTGGAGGAAATCTTTGGTATTTATCAATACATACTGTTGAGAATCTTGGCCCTAGGAGTAAATTAATCAAATTAAATTCAATCATGTATTTAATATTAGGCTTATAATGAGTTGGGTTTACCTTTAACACAAAATGGCTTAAGCCATTTTGGTTGGTTCACCCTTTGCATTATATGCCCTTTTAGTTAGTTGTATTTATCCAATGTGGAATTACCCACATACTCCAACACTTCGCCCTCAAGTGGGACTACCCAATTGACAAGCGTACGATGGCCCAACACAAGTCCATCAGGGTATGACCCAACATGGAACTTCCCTCATGCAGGTTCGGGAATCAGGCTCTGATACCATGTTGAGAATTGGGGCCCTAAGAGCAAATTAATCAAATCAAATTCAATTATGTATTTAATATTGGGCTTATAATGAGCTTGGTTTACCTTTAACACAAAATGGCCTAAACCATTTTGGTTGGTTCACCTTTCGCATTATATGCTCTTTTAGTTAGTTGTGTTTATCCGATGTGGGGTTACCCACATACTCCAACACATACAATTGTTGATAATCTATGGTTGATACTTGATGGGCGTGAGGCATAACATAACCATTGGTATTGGGTAGAATTGGTTTATGAACTTGGGGCCACTTTGAGACTAATTTTTAAGCTAAGTAATATGTAACCAAACCTTAATTCATTTGTTTCAATTTATTTGCAATATCTTGAGATAGCCCCTTTTCATGGTTTGATGAGTGTTTTTGTAATGTCTTTCAAATTATACTATATTGTATAATATTGACTTTGATTCTTGGTATTGGGTGGTGTAGAGGACCATTAGTTTTACATCCAAAGTAGTGTAGTTAAAGCTATACACAGGTAATTCCTAGTTAAGTCTTTAGCAAAAGCTTAACTATAAATAATGTTCTTAGCTGTAAATGCATATTGTATTGATACTTACGTACTATATTCATAAATCTTACCTTTCTTTGTTGTATCTTGTGTGCTTCAACATTTAGCTTAGTGTGCTTTGGGGGTTTGGGAATGTTAGAGCGATCAATATAAGGAGGGTAAGTGTCAACTCAAGTAATAACCTATGTAAGTAAGAAAGGGACACGGTGGAGAGATTGTGCATCGGAGGAAGAATACACAAGGCAAGTGGATTCGTGTGCATGCTGGCAGGTTGACGACGTTGGACCTCAAGGCAATCTAAGGATCAATGCCGTCTTGTAAAGTGTAGGTGAATGATGTGCGAGTGTATGCGAGCAACTTATGTAATAAAGGGTGATTAATGGGATAGGTGGGGGTGAATAGTGTGAATGGAAGAAACGTGATGATGTGACGTCTCTTGAATGTTAGAGAGAGAAGGAATGAGAATTAGAGAGACAGAGGTGTTGTGAAGTTCTAGGTTCCATCCTTATGTTAGGATCCTAGTTGCAAGAAAAGGTGTGGGACTTCTCTTGGATCCCACATTGGAAGCATGGGATTTCAATGTGGGGTTTATATGAATTTGGGCTCTCCAATCTCAATGGCTAGCTTTTGAGGTATGATTCTCTCAAGATCATGACAATTGTTATTAGAACCAACCACTGCTTCTCCTAATTGCAATCAAGGGGTGTGGGTGGAGGCGTTGGAATTGTAGTGTTCGCTCAGGGCTTGGTGATGATGCCGGTGTTTGCTTGGGGCTAGGAAAAAACCTAGCACACATCCACCCTAGAATAAAGCCAACCTGATGTGGGTGCTAGAACAAACCAAACCTGATGTGGGCGCTGAGACTGCGGAGCATGGTGGGATGTCAGGGCTACAGTTGCAAGACAAGGTATGAGACTTGTCTTGGATCCCACATTGGAAGCACTAGATTTCAATGTGGGGTTTATATGAGCTTGGGTTCTCCAACCTCAACGGCTGGCTTTTTAGGTATGGTTCTCTTGAGGTCGTAGCACCTTACTAAAGGGAAATTGTTGAGGTACTTATATGGAAGCCTAGTGGCATGGGAATCATCAAGCTTGAGGGGTTGAATGAGTCAGCCTTGTTATGAGGAAGGGTTTTGGGCTCATTTTGGCATTTTTATGTTGGGTTGGATTTCATTGGTCTATTAGCCAGGTTAAGGATTTGGATAGATTTCCTCTCCCTTAACAGGTCATATTTTAAGCCACCAAGCCAAATATCTCTTGAGTGTCACGCTGAAACCAATAATTAGTTATAACCTTTGTCATTGCCTCTAGCTTGCAATTGATCCTTGTTAAATTACATTAGCAAGCAACATGAAGTTAATAATAATGAAAACATAACAATACTAATTGATAGTGATTTTTTGCAAGTATACGAAATCGTAGCAAGTAATATAAAGTAAGTAGAGTATTGTCTCTTCAGGAATTGTATATCAAGTACCAAAATTTTGTTAACCTATTATTATTTAAACGGCAATAAGAGAGATTTATTGTAAGAAAAGTAAATTCTAAGAAAGAAAACAGAAATAAATCAAGCAACAATATTCAGATGAAATGACCTTGTTAAATTTAACCATTAAGCAACACAATGGAAGTTTAAAATTAAATATTGAAGAACATAACAATACTAATTGGATAGTGATTTTTTGCAAGTATAAAAACGAAATCCGTAGCAAGTCATAATAAAGTAAAGTAGAAGTAATTGTCTCTTTCAGGTAATTGTATATCAAGTTACCAAAATTTTTTTTTTAAACCTATATTATTTAAAACGGCAATAAGAAGAGTTTTATTGTAAGAAAAGTAAATTCTAAAGAGAAAGAAAACGAAATAAATCAGCAACCAATATTCAGATGAAAAGACTCAAGGATTTTAAAACTAATTTAGGATTTTGATTTTCATTAACTCTATCCAATTTATTTTATTAAGTTTGTATCAATTTTAATTTGTTCAGTAGGGGAAAACACCCTAAAAATCACTACAAGCCCTTCTCGATATATTGTTAGCTATTCTAACCCGATCTATTACCTATCTTTCGCAATAGTGCAATCAAATATGAATTAAAATCATTAAGTTTTTGTGGTTTTGTTTTGTGAAATTCATTAACCTAAGGTCAAATTTAACTATGAAAACCCCTTTATTTTTTTTTTTTGTGTTTTTAATGGTCAACCATATAGGCTTCCGCATCCAAGGTTATTATTCTCATGTAATGTTTAATTACCTATTCATATCCAAAAATCGCCTTCTCTCCGATAAGATTAATGAAAATTAAATCAATCCCAAGGGGAGAACCTGCTTGGGAAGCATTTAAGTGCAAATAATAAATTATACTTTGAACAAAAAAAAAAACAAATCTAATATTAATAAAATTGGGAAAAAGAATTCAAGCCCTAATGCAAATCCCTAGTTGAGGAAATTTAGTTTCGAGTTCGACATAGTAATTAAATAAAACTCAATAATACTTGAATAAAACTTCATAATCAATATGAATAATGAAAAGTAAAATAAGATTAAGAGTTTAGAATTAAAAATTAGACAACAGATACGTGGATGGCTTTCTTGAATCTTGGCGCGAATCTTGACATGAATCTTGAATGGTTGAAATCTATGAGAGAGAGAGAACTATGTAGAAAAAAATAGAACAAGAGATGATTCTACACTGAATGGCTCCTCTCTTTATATAGGCCTCTTGGAAGAAAATGCGACTCCGTTTAGGAAATAGAATCCTTATTAAGTACGAAATCTTTTTGGAGATCACAAACTGTTTAGGCTTAGATTTCTTCTCAATCAAGACTCTTCCATATTCCTAAATAGGTTTAGATTTTGATTTGCACATCAGGAAAATATCTGAGGTGGGTCCATGTAAGTTATAGAGACTTGGCTGGCGTTTTTAATTCAAGACAGCATTAAATTCGTAGCACGGGAGTGCTCCATAACACGGCTTGGGCGTGCCAGAGTCTGAGTCTACGAGTGATTCAGCACGGGCCGTGCTCTGCAACACGTCGAGAGAAGTATTTGTGGCACGGGCATGCTAGATAGCACGGCTGGGGCATGCTAGGCTCTGACTTTCCAGAATAAAATGCATCACGGGCGTGCTTAAGCAAGCACGCCCTAATGTCCTTTCAGGCACGAGCGTGCTAGATAGCACGGGCTGGCTGTGCTAGAGTCTGAGTCTCCACTTGATTTTCCTTAAGTTTAGCACGGGCGTGCTAATGTGCACGGGCTAGGCGTGCCAGAACCTGAGTGTTTAGCTTTATAATGCTCTTTTCTGTGCCAAAACCCTGCAAATTTCTTTAAGATAAAGTGGATTATGATTCGAGGAAGTTTTGAACAAAAATATAAATAAAACGAAGTGAAAATTAGTTAAAGTTGTTGATAGAAAAATATTGTAGTTGTATTTCTTATATTTGATTCATCAATAGGGACACATATATATACACATACAAGATACTATAAACCTATTTAGAAATAGGGAACAACATATATATCACATATCAAGATACTCATAAAACCTATTTTAGAATCTAACTCCTAATAGAGTTCTATTTACAACTCCTAATAGAGTCCTATTTACAAACTAAATCCTTAACCCACTCCCCCTCAAGTTGGAGCATAGATATTATCATGCCTAACTTGTTACAAAGATAGTCAAACCGGGGGTCCGTTTTAAAGCTTTTGTAAGATAATCCCCTAACTGTTCACTGTGTTTTTACATGTCCTTGTAGAGGATAACACTTGTGGTATCTTTTCAACGAATGGAATGAAATCAATCTCGATAATGTTTGTTTCGGTTCATAGGAATACTGGATTTGGATGCAATGAGAAGCAGCTTGATTAATCACACCATAACTTTGCAGGCAAGGATGACTTTGAAGCAATTTCCTCTAACAACTGACGAATCCAAATTAATTCCACAAGCAGATTGTGCCATATAGCTCGATATTCTGATTCAGAGCACTCGATCGTGAGACTACAATTTTGTTTCCTTTTGCTCCTTCCAGTGATATCGAAGTTTCCACCTACAAAGCAATATCCTGAGTTGATCTTCTATCAACTTCGAACTGCCCATCCGCATCTGACAACATTCCCATGTTAATGCCTTTATGATTACTGTAAGCAGGCACCGACCTGGAATTACGCTTTCAAATTAGCAAAAAAATCCTGTCCTAAAGCTTCCCAATGGATAAAAGTAGGAGAAGAACCTAACTGGCTCAAACGCTCACCAGAGTAAAGCATATCTGGGACGTGTTTACTGGTAAGATAAATTCAATTTGCCCACTAAACCTTCTATACATCTCAGGATCATCAATAGCTCAACCACCAAATTGAAAGTTGCCATATTATTGGAGTCCCATTGGGAGCACTGCATGGCTTGGCACCCCAACTTTTTTCCTTCAGTAAGTCAAGGGCATACTTCCTTTGAGATAAGAAGATGCCTCTCTTACACCTAGACACTTCAATACCCAAAAAATACTTCAACAGTCCTAAGTCTTTTGTTTGGAACTGGGTCTGGAGAAATGACTTGAGTGATGTAATGTCGACTGAATCACTTTCTGTAATAACAATGTCATCAACATAAATGACAAGTAGAATCAAACCAGTTTTAGTACTTCTGAAAAATATAGAATGATCAGAAGTACTCTTCTGCATGCCAAATTGATGTACCACATTGCAAAATCTACCAAACCAAGCTCCAAACCAAGCTCGAGGACTCTGTTTTAGGCCCATAAGAAGATTTTTTCGAAGTTTACCACACTTTTTACCCGAACTCCCCCCTGAGCAAACAAAGCCCTGGTGGTTTTGCTCCATGTAAACTTCCCCTCCTGAAGATTCCCCCATGAAGAAAGGCACATTTTAACAGTCCAGCTGATTAAAGGCCAGTCAAAGTAGCTGTTATTGAAGATAAATAAACGAACAGAAGACAATTTGGCAACAGGAGAAAAAGTATCAAACATAATCAAGGCCATAGGATCCTGAGAATAGCCCCCTTTTGGGCAACTAATCGAGCCCTTGAGACGAGCAACAAGTCCCCCCATCAGGAATTTCACTTTAACGGTGAAAAACCCACTTTACAACCAATAGCTTTCTTACCTGCCGGGAGAGGCACAAGATCCCAAGTACCGATTTGTATCTAAGGGCCAAGCCATCCTCCTCTTTCATTGCTTGCCCCAACCCAGGGATGGAAGACAAAGCCTTGGACCAACAGTTTTAGGAATAGAACAGAGTCTAAGTTACTTCAAAACAAACGAGATGAAAGAAAAGAAAGATGACATGAATAACAAAAGAGGAAATAAGGGTAGGTACAACTGGCGTTACCTTTTCGAAAGAGCCAATGGGAAAAGGTCAAGGGCTGACTGGGAGGTGGCATGGCACAGGCCTCCAGGTTTGAGTGGAGAAGAACCGGATCTTCTGTTTGCAACGGCAGGTGGGAGGAAGTGAGTCAAGAGTCCCTAGTCTCCTGGAATAAACCTGTTCCCAAACGAGGGCGTGGTTAGATTTGCTGGTGCAGGAGTGGGCATAGAGCAGCAGACACTGGTAGGAAGCCAAGGAGCAAAAGGTCAGGAAATAACGACAGGAGCAGGAGATTTTGATTGCTGGATAGCATAGACTAAAAGGTTCAATCATCCTCCCCCTTCACCTCTTATGTAATAAGAAGAAGGAAAAAAAATTGGAGTAATTCTCAAAAAAATGGTGAACATCTGCAGAAATAAGATAACGGTCAAGATCGGGAGAGAAAACAACGATACCCTTTTTGCTGCCGAGAATACCAAGGAAAAAACACAACGAAGGGAACCTTGGAATCTAATTGGAAACCTGTGGGAGGCGAACCCGACCATCACGAAACAAACACAAAGTACACCAAAATACGAGGGTTTCAATGGGGGATAAAGTTTAGAAGGAAACAAGACATTATAAAGGAATTGGCAACCATTAAAGACGAAGAAGGCATGCGATTAATCAGAAAACATGCAGTAGAGACAGCATTCAGCCCAAAAGTTTAGGGGACCTTCATTTGGAAATAAAAAGTGCCCTAGCAAACCTCAAGAAGATGTCCGATTTCTTTCCTTTCTGCAACCCCATTTTTGGAAGGAGTATCAACAAAACAAGACGTTTGATTGGAGAACTAACCCATTTTGTGAATGAAACGGCTTCTGATACAAATTGTTGAATAGAAAATTTGTAGTTTGTATTTCTTATATTTGATATCATCAAAGGGACACATATATATACACATACAAGAATACTATAACCTTTTAGCAATTTCTAACTCCTAATAGAGGTTCTATTTACAAACTAATCCTTTAAACAAAAGTGATTAAAAATTTACTAAAATTTTCAAATAAAAACTTATATTAAATACTGTATAAAAATAAATAGAGTTCTATTTACAACTAATCCTTAACAAAAGTGATTAAAATTACTAAAATTTCAAATAAAAACTATATTAAAAATACTGTAAAAATAACACCTATCACTAATAATAATGATAAACATTTATCCTCATGATATTTTGAAGTATCTACACTTAGCTAAAATACTTGGTTCGTAGGAATGGCAGATAAAAAAAAAAAAAGAAAAAAGAAATGTTACTTTCTTAATTTTTTTGTTGCCATCTTTTCCACATTACATCATTACCTTACTACTAGATGACATTATGTTCTTTTCATTGTTAACTATTTACTCATTCACTATAATCCATGATCCAGCCTACACTAAAGACTGCAATCAGTGTTTCCAATGCTCATAGGACTTCAAAATCCAAGTGCACATCAGCTGTGAACAAATCCATATCCATAGCTGGGGTCTCATCTAGAAAAAAAGAGAAATCTGTGACATCTTCTCAGTCAAGCCAGATTCCTACAATTGTTTCCCATGAAGCCACTCAAGAACCTCCCTCTGACAGCAACAACAAGTCAACTACAAACAAATCAGATTGTGTTGTCTGGAGAAAATCTGATCGTAGGAAGTCTTATACATTTTCATTAATGGCAGGATCAAAGGTTTGGCCATCAGGGCATACTTCAATGCAGTAATGTTAGTATCTAACTTAATTATTGTATATTACTTGATTACTGCATTATTTTGCAGTTGTTAGCAGAGCAAAGTGAAGTTATTAAGGAGGAGAGACTGCCATGTATAGATGACAGTTGTAATCAACTGGAAGTTGCTGAATATGTTGATGAGATCTATCAGTTTTATTGGGTTTCAGAGGTGATTATTTATTTACTACCGCTAATTGCTCTCTACTTCTTTCTGATCATGTTTACTATATTGGCTAGATTAGTATTAAGAATCTCTCAGAACAGAACAATTTGCTGATTCCAAACTTTTGGAAGGGTATTGCCTCCCTCCCAACACATTCCTAAATTTTAAGGCTCATAGGTTCTGTTGATATTTTTGCAAATAATTCTAAGAAGTTTGATCCTATCATTTGAATTCTGCATGATAAGATTTTGATTATGGTCTTTATTATGGTTAGAAATGAAGAGGAGAACTAGTTTAATTTTACCTTTGTTCATACAGGGGAATTGGTGGTATTTGAGCTTTTTATATTTTTCTGAAATAAGTGAATATAGTAAATCAGAGTTTTATTGTATATAATTTCTTCTTCCTTACAACTAAGACAGATAGAAATGACAAAGGAAATAAGGGGAATGAAATAAAAAGGGTTAATGTATTTGGATTCTATAAAAACCATTAATTTTTCATAGTCAAGCAATGGTATAAAGAATTTATATAGTAATACGACATGTGAAAAAATTTACAGATTGTATAGATTTTTACTTTTCATTTGGTCCCTCCCTTGAGAGGTAAATGCCCAGCTCTGGCATTGATGTCCACATGCAGTATATTTCTACCATGCATCTTCTTGAGGATTAGTTAAACCACTTATTAGTGATTTGGATCCTATCTAATGCCTTGGATCTCAGAAACTCACTTGAATGGATTGTTCAGAGTTTTTGTTGTAAGGTGGATGAAGTGTGAATTTAATCTTCAACACGAGTAAGCATGCTGCACACACATTACATGTGAGAAATATTGCCATTAGTAAGTAAAATTGTAGGGACATGCAATTTCTTTCTTCAATGTGAATTTGCTTTGGGATTGGACTCATTAATTCTATTAGTTGGATTGATAAGAGATTTGATTGATTACCATGGCATCATATATTTCATCCTTTCCTAGTCAATGTTAGTTGGCAAATTTATTGAACGGGGTTAATATGTATGCTATAGCAAGTCTCCTGGAAGTGAATTATGTTTGCAGCTAGTAGACAAATTGTCTTTGACTGCAATCTAATGTCATTTGACTAGAGATCATGCTCATGCAAGCAGCGCAATGTTTTGTATTGTCCGTTGCATCAAAACAGAACATCAATGGTCATGGGCTCATGGCTGCTTCTAGCATAGTTTTTCTTTTAGAAAAAAAAAAAAAAGGTCCTGTTTCAAGCATTTTCATATGAATAATGACCAGTACTAGATGACTATGACAGGCTGTATCAGTAATTGTTTATATATGCAGAAATAGGACAACAGGCCTATTCGTACCATCCAAGATTGTAGTCTGATATGTAGTGAATGATTCTTGGAGATCTCCTGGAAAGTATGTTGGATGATGTAACTCTGGAATTAGCTGTCTGATTGTGCCATGACTTGCATCCCATGTTAGTTGTATACCAATCTTGATATATTTGTTAGGGTTAATGACTGCAAAAGCAATTCCAAAACCACTTTTAATGGTTGGGCCCAAAACCAACATTGACTATCACTTTTGGGTTGGTTCTGTGGTTATTACACTAGAACTTGTCCAGCTAAATTGGTCAAACTAGGTTGAACTGTGTTGATCAACTATCCATCCAGTCACTCAGAACCTTGTCATTCTCATGTTAGGTTTCCTATAGCTTTAATTTTTTTTTTCTTTTAAAAGAGAGGAATTGATTAATGCATCTTGTGCTCGAACTGAATGTTAGCATCTGATATTGAGCTATGGATCACTAAATATCGTTTATTCTTTTCAACAGACACTATTAGGTTTTTGGATGTCTAGTTTAGTTGGATGTTTATGTTATAATTTTTTTTTTAAAAGAAAATTTACATGAAGAAAATGATCCACAAAGTTGATCCCTATTAGTTTGAGATAAAGGCTTAGTTGAGTTTAGTATTAATTTTACAGAACATTTGCTTAGTAACTATAGAATCCACAAATAAATTGCTTGAAATATTATATGTTAGTGAATAAAAACCTTCCTATATTTCATTCCATATTTCCCCTCAACACCCCCTCCCTCTCTTGAATATTTCTTCTATTTATCTTTTAGAAAATATTTTATCAAGTGCGTATCACATACAATTTCATGCATTAATAATTAATTTATTGCATTATTTCTATGTTCTGAAAACATGTAGTATGTAGTACTTGCATATATTATATAGGCAGTGGTTTGATCTTAATTGGACATTTGAATCTTAACCTTCAGTATGATGACCAGATGATAAACTATGATAGATATTATACAAATAAACTCATTTTGTCGATGTATACCCTTTGTTCAAGAAGATAGTATGTGTTGTCTTTGATTTTCTTTCGAACAGTTTCTCCATTTTCTCTCAGTTTAGGTTTTGATGGCTGTAGGCATGCTAAGTATAGAACCGTTCAATTAGTATCTTTGTAGAATTTTGCTGCATGATGCCCATGATCGTAGTAATAATTTAAGAAAGTTCAGTTTTGTTATATTTTCTCATTTCTACGTTTATTAATCGATTAATACAGTTGGCTTTTGATGATTTTTTTTGTTATGTAAATATGCCTTGTAATTGCAGACACAGGACTTTTCTCTGGCAAATTATAAGTCAATTCAGACAGAAATTACTCCTCAAATGCGGGGTGTATTGGTTAACTGGCTAATAGAAGTATGAAAACATCTTTTTGAATTTAATTCAAACGCCATATCTTTCATTTCTCAATGTTTCGTATCACATATACCAAGATATTGCAGTTCTCATCTTTTGTGACAAGTTGTTTGCAATCTGTTTACAGGTACATTTGAAATTTGAACTAATGCAAGAAACACTTTATCTATTAGTCAAAGTGTTAGATCAATACCTATCTCAAGTCCAAATTAAGAAGAATGACATGCAGTTGGTTGGTCTTACAGCATTACTGTTGGCATCAAAATATGAGGACTACTGGCATCCTATGGTAAAAATTAATGCCAAATTGTCAAGTTCTCATTTTTTTTTTTTGGTCAAATTTGATTTTTGTTGAAGTGAATTCTTACCTATTCTTTTTACATTTGCAATGCAGATCAAAGATTTACTGAGCATCTCGGCTGAATCATACACGAGAAAGCAAATGCTTGTCATGGTATCTATTAACTAAATGCTAAATGCTTTCTCTTAACAAGAGTTGAAATTTTACTAATAGCATTTTATTTATGAGACATCATAGAACTGGGGTTGAGGATTGTGTTTTTCCGTGTATATTTTATCTATTGGGTGGATGGGTGGTAACCTGGTAGGTGATTAGAGGAAATCTTTTCCTGTAAAGGTTCTGTTCATAGTAATATCTTTACATAGTGACCTATGTGAAAGCCATTTATTGAATAAACTTCCGTGCTATTCCTAAATTTCAACCACATGTTACAGTTGGCCTCTGTTGGCCTTAAAAGATTTTGGCTGTGTTTTTCCAGGAGAAGCATATTCTTAAGAAATTAAAGTTCCGTCTTAATACGCCCACTCCGTATGTCTTCATGTTAAGATTTCTCAAGGCTGCTCAATCAGATGTGGAGGTATGCAGTGTCTTTCAAAAGAAACTCTAAATTTGGTTATTTAGAAGAATAACGCTCATAAATGCCCCTCAAACGATACTAGTTCAGATATCTGAATTCAAACTGAATTTCTGTATCCCAGTAAAATGATGGTAAAATCAGATTCAGGTTGAACTTCGAAATTAGATAATTAATAATCTCAAAAGATAAAACCATCTATCTTTACTGGACCACATCCAATGGCAATTCTAAGTTTGCTAATACTCTCTGAATTCTTCACTGACAGCTTAAACATCTGGCATTCTACCTGATTGAGCTGTGCTTGGTGGAATATGAAGCTTTGAAGTTCAAGCCTTCTATGCTGTGTGCGGCAGCTATTTATGTTGCTAGATCTACCTTGCAAAAGGCTCCAGCTTGGACTTCTCTGCTTGCCAAACATGCACGCTATGAAGTCTCCCAAATCAGGTATTTTATTTAATTAAGGTTCATTTCCAGTAACAGCCTTTTATATATTTATTTTTGACCAAAGAGCTTGTGCATGCATCTTTCAAAAATTGAACAATAACATGTACATCTAGATTTCTTCTATCAGAGATAGGAAGTTTGAATGTTGCAAAACCTTCAAGCAAGAAACAAATTCAACACACTTGAATCTCCATTTTATTATGCATATAATGAACAAGATGGGACCACTACGTCATTTTCAATCCCTTGATTAGAAAGGAACCCATCCTCATGTTTGCCTCAATATGTAATCTTCATCTTACTTTTTTTACGCCTGCAGAAGTTATGGCTGAGATATGATTATGTCTCAAGGTCATCCTTTTTTTACTCCTATTCTGTGTAAAATATCAAGTATATAGTAGGTGTGATCAATGAAACTACTTCCTATGAGTTTGAATTACAAAACCTGCATTTGTTGTCTGTTCTGCGTTTGTAAGCTTTATGCTCTTACCTAGGAGTGGACATAATTCGTGTCAAACTGGAAAACCACGTCGAACCAACTGATTAGTCTTTTTCTTGAAACTATTTGGTTTGTTTCTTTTTTCTTTTAATAGAAAATACTGAATTTTTCAGTTCATCTTGATTTTTATCATAGAAGACCAAAGCCAAAAAATCCTAAAATTAAGTGAAACTGACAATTTAAACCAAACCAAATTGAATTGAATCGGTTTGATTTTGTTTGAATTTCCTGTATAAAAATTCAGTTTGTTTGGTTTATACCAGTTCAATTTGAACTGAACCAACTGAATGCCCACCCCTACTCTTACCATTTCACAACATGGTACTGTTTCTCATTTGCATCATCTATCCCAAAGAGACTTTGAGATTCTTCTCTCAAAAACTTGTCTCTCTTCCATCAAAGAACACTAAACTGGCTCTAAATCGTTGGCTTTATTTTGAACCTCAATGATTCAAAACTCCTCAATGATGGTAGCATTGAGCCTGACACAGAATGAAAGTGCAATAGAAAAGCTTGTCCGTGTCCCAAAAATCCTTAGTCCACAATGAAAATAGGTATGGAGTTGCACTAGAGAATAAAGAACTAAACTTTACTGAAATTGTTTCTTTCAGTAAGTACATAAAATGCCTGTTTGAAATGCAAGAAATCCCTAGTTAGATGCAATAAATTTATTGAAACATACATTCCAAAGTTACAAGGAATGGTTTAAAATAAGAAATTTAACTAGTATCCTTGAAATGAATCTCGCAAATATAATAAGGGAGAAAAGTTACCATGTCATCCATATTATGTTTCTTGGGAGTAGTGCGAACTTTATGACCGAGTACCTCTAAGAACTTTTAAGGGGTCGACTTCATTGCTAAAAAAGAATTGGAAGACACCATCATTATGTTCTCTAGCATGGACATTTAGTATCAAGGCCATACTTAAGCCATAACGGTTTGAATGGTGGTTTCTGTTGATTGGTTTGTCAGTCAATGTTCACCTTCCTCCATAAAGAGGGTTATCATAATCAGGCGTAGACTAGGAGAATAATAATTTTCCTAGTAAGCTGGAAGAAAATATCTTACTCAACCACCTTTTATGCGAATTATATATTATCTCTACTTCTTTTGATGATGAATATTGTCGTTTGACTTCACTGTTTTAGGGATTGCGCTGAAATGATATTAAGATTTCACAAAGCTGCTTCGATATCACATTTGAAAGTAACATATGGAAAGTACATGAAACCTGAATTCAGCAGTGTTGCTGCATTACAGCCCTTGGATAAGCTGCCATTTTGATATTTGTCAAAAAAATGAAAGAGGTAAATAATTTTTCTTACAAATTTCTCTGATAATTTTGGCGCATCGAAAGGAACGTCCTTAGTTTTTCTTTGTTACTTGATGTTTTGCAGGAACTAATATACTAGCTTTGGCTTGTGTGATCCTAATCCTTGATTTTTCTTAATGGTTGTTATATGTATAGTGATTGTTAATGGAAGCTGAGGAGTGGTGTTAACTTTTCATTTTCTTAACTCTGTTGAGAAGATGGAACTCAGCGGGTACTGAACCCATCCTTTATAGATATTGACACGTTATTCGGTGTGTGTGCTTGTGAATATCGAGTTCAATTGAAGTTTCGATAGAGTGTGGGAAAGCTTATTAATCACTAGTGTGAGAGGTTATACACAAATATTTCTCTTTGTTTTTACTAATTTGGATAAGAAGCTTATTAATCACAAGTGTAACTATTTAATCTTTTACTCAGAATTTAATTATAATTAAGATATAAATGATCTAAAAATTCTCAACATTTGCATGTCTTTTTCATTTTTTTTTTTGTAAAATATGGGCCAAAATATTAAAAAAAAAAAAATTCGAAATTCTACGCTGAATTTAACTTTCTTCTTTAAATACTTTGAATTTGAATTTTAGTTATAATAGCACTTTAAATTTATATTTTATCTATTTTATATATTAAAAATCATTTTTTGTGAACTTGCATTCTTTCTTTCATAGTCAGGAATGGATCAATTTAAAATACATCATTTCAAACACAAATTAATAAATGAGTACTGGTTTAGAGAGTATAATATTGACAATTGCAAAATAGATAAATTCAATTGTTAAATCAAATTATATGAAAGTCAAACATTGATTTATATTTAAAATTAGCAATAAACACTTGGAAATTTGCAAGATAAAGAAACAACTTCATAAGCAGAAAGTAGCAGAGGATCAAATATTTTGATATAAAAATAGACCAATCTATTAATACTAATTAACACTAATGCTAATCCAGTATCAATTGACTTTATAATACAATTGTTTAGCTAAAATGCACTTTAACAAATCTCCAATTTTTAAAAACCTCAATTTATGCAATCTCATCAACAACCCATTAAACCTCGAAATGAGTGGAGACAAGCTCTAGAAAAAGAAAGGAACGTTTTAAAACTTACCTCTCGAATGTCTTTGTAAAAAAGGTTTGACTTTACCAAAATACTTGGCTGCCTCTATAGTAGTCAAGAGGAAAACCATTTTTGGATGATTTAAAGATTTACCGACGCTAGAGAGGAACGAGAGGAAATCGGTTCTTATCTCGCTGTTTTTTTGGCTCGAAAGAAAAAGTAAAATTTTATAAAGAATTTTCTTCTCTTCATTTCCTAGAGGAAAGTTGGTTAAATGGCAAAATTGATGTAGGGTTATGGTTTGAGAGAATGAGAATATGATCTTTGCTTTATTTTTGTCAGACAATAATTGAAAATGTGATTGATAACGCAAGAGATGGAGCGATGCGATGGGGGTTGAGAGAAGTTTGAAACAATGTGTTTTGGGTTAAACTATTCCTTGGATTAACTTGACCACGAGAAAAATTTGTTGGTCTCGTGAAAATAATTTTTTCTTCATTAAATCGAATAAAATTTGAATTTGAGTATTATTATAATTAATGTTCAAATTTAGGGTACCTGGAGAAGAAACTTAAAATTAGGATAAAATTTAAAATTAGGGTAAAATTAAAACAACCCATAAAGTTGTGGATTTTTTCAATGGTTTGGCCTTTTAGTCATTCAAGATTAATTGTTAATAAATATAATTTCTCATTTTCTTACGATATTGATAAAGCAAAATGTTTTTCTCAAATCCAAAAAATAATTTGGAAGGCAAATTGAAATGTATTTATTATTTGTAAATAAAAAAATTTGTTCATTAAATTTAGTTATAACTATGATTTTATCACTATATTTTGCTTAATAAACAATGTTACCCTTACATTTTTAAAATACATAGTTTTATCCATATTTTTTTCCGTCTCCGTTATGCTGTTACATCATTTTGTTAATTTTTTATACTTTTTTGTCAAAAATTTATTAATTGTCCCAATAATTTCTCAAAATTAACTAATATGTATTCATTAACTATTTTATCTTTGTATTTTGCTAAACTTAAGTAATATGTCCTTTGTATTTAACGGAAAAAGTACAAAAAATTAACAGAATGGTATAACAGTGCAACAAAGGCAAAAGACAGAGATAACACTATGTATTTCTAAAAATATAACGGCAAAATCATGTATTTTGACAAAATACAAAGATGAAATAGTAGCTTTTCCTTAAATTATAAATTATAAAAATAGGGGTTTTCTTATTTAAATATTAATTTGAAGACTAAATTGTAGTAATTGATTCTTTCGGCATTTTTACATGCTATGTGGTTAGCATGTTTTGAGTATTGGAAAACTTTATTTTCCAAGTAAGACTGCAAGTTACTTCTGCTTATTATCTGCTGTTATTTTGGATGTGGAATTTCAAATTTATTATTAAAATATATTTTATTTTTTCATTCACTTGTAAAAAAAAATTTGTCTTTGTTTCAAAGTAAAAATTATAATAAATAAAAATAAAAATAAAAAATAAATAGAAATGATACTCATAAGAGGATAAGACTTGTCTACTATACTAGGTACTCGAGGTGTTTCCTTACATCAAGCCAACCCATAAAGTGCTTTTAAAATATTACTAGCCAAATACATAGTTTCATCCTTCAACTTTCTTATTTTGACTTAATAGTATTCTGTGTTATAGTCTAAAAGAAAGGATGGATCCAAAGTAGGCTGGTATATGTATATATACAGTAGATTAATATAACTGCTTAGAATTAAAAGATTATGCGAGATAGTGGAGAAAATCTCTCTACCATTTCACATCTGGTAACTGTTAATAATTTGATGTCTTGAGAGATTCTAGGAATATGGAGATTTACTAGGGATTTTAAGATATTAAAATATTTAATATTAACACACCTTAACTTTGATGTTTTGCAATTAAATGCACCTTTGCACTTTGAGAAAAGTACATGATATTCAATCTTGTTGACGTGTCAAAGACAATTGACTAGTGGAATGTTCATTGTGTTAATGGAACGCATTGGTTTATTGGTATTTTTCCCTCCATATGCATATACATTGAAAATATATTAGCTTTACTCTAAAATATTAACGAAATCTCACTTGAATAATTAGAGATAGAGGGTTTTTATAAAAGATGAAATCACAATTTATAAAGAAAGAATAGAGATGATGTGACCTTTTAATACTAAAGAAAGAAATAGTGGTGACACTTGAGAGACACTCCACTATTAAATAAAAATAAGAGAAGTTTTTCCCAAAATCTATTACTAAAAATATGAAAACTTTTGTATGCTAGTAAGGTTCTTTTTGTGATTTGGATTCCAAAAATGTTATGTTTGTCCTGTTTACAAAATTTACAAAATGTAATGGCAATGTCTATGTTTTTTTTTATTATTTGTGTAATGAGTTAGGGTTTTTTTACATCATTTGACATGGAAAGACATTTGGTCTTTTAAGAACGAATCATGATTTCATTATTGATAATATAGTAAGAAATGCAAAAGGTGGTTATTACAGATGAAACAAAAGTTTTTTTAGTAGGATAAAATTGATGCAGACTTGCTATATGAATGTAGTTTTATAAACAGTGGTAACACTCTTCAACTCTATATTGAGCATGATATTGATTTGCCAATATTAAATAAGGGCTTGGTAAATGATGGGTATCTTTGTGATACTAATAATGTTAGATGTGGTCAAGTATTTAATGCAAGTGTTGGGGTTGGTGAAAGAAAGGGAGTAAATGTTGATATCCTTAAAATTATATACTACTTCCATTCCATTATACTTGTCACATTTGAGAAAATAGTTTATTCCAAAATACTTGTCACATTTATAGTTTCAAGGAGTAATAAATATTTTTTTTCCATATTTATCCTTTATCCTTTATATAAAATCAATAATTATTGCTTTAATTTAATGATTTCTAAAGAATTAGTATTAAATATAGGTAATATAGTCAATATTATCAATAATTTTCTTAAAGAATTAGTATTAAATTAAGGGTAATATAGTCAATTTATTCAATAATTTATTGTAACTTAGACAAATTTAATGGTTTTCTTAAGAGATGTGAGAACGAGTGGTTTTTCCCAAAAATTATTTGAAAAGAATCGAGTTGAACGAGCTTGATTGATTTTATTCATCAAAATAGTTTTCTTTTATTAAACCCGTTTAATCCTCGAAAAAAGATTGTCTTATTTTGGTAAGAGTTTTATTTTAGAGTCAGCACTCTTTTTTTAAGAAAAATTCTCGAATTAGTCGATTCTTTGGAATCGACTAACTCGATTTTAAACCAGAGACGGGTTCGTGAGTTAGATACAAAATGGGAAGGTGTTAGGCACCCATTTCGTTTGGTTAAACTGACCTCCTCGTTGTCCATTAATTTATAGCAATTAATAATGAGATTAACTTTTAATTGAGATGTAAAACAATTTTGATGCAATCTTTAGAAAACTATGTCATTCACACAAATTATTGTAAGCATAATAAACATAAAACATAAAAGCATACATAAAGAAGGAGGGAGGAGAAAAGAGTTATAAAACCATCCTAATTATACAATCTACCCTCATTCCTCCAAATTTTCCAAACCCAATTTAATGTTACAAACAAGCAGTAATAGGAATCCTTATGGACCCTTTACATTTTGCAATAATACAACATTAAAGCATAATAAGAGTAAAAGATCCATAATCAACACAAACACAAAATGGATATTATTTCTCAGAATCATAGAATCATACAACCCAACTAACAATCAATCATTCATTCACATAATGGAAATATGATGCATGTTCATAACAAAAATAAATGAATAAAAGAGTTAGCATAATAATGAGCATTAGGCATTGAAAGACATAAAATTAAAGAGTAGAATAATAAAGTGCTTGTAAATTAAACAACAGTAATTAAAGTGCAAGAATTTAAATGATTATATGAGATTTAAACTCATGACCTTGATGTTCATCTTTGAAAGGTGAACAAATACATCAATCATTGTTCTTAATCTTATTTTTGTTGTTTATTCAATCCATATGTGACTTAATACGCATCATGAACCGTTTAAAGTCAGAGCTTGGTCACTAGATCTCCGGATCGAGAATTTATTGGGTTTTTATATATTCAAAGCCTCTAAATTGAAAGGCCTTGTGCCACAATGCACTATGGCATGCGCTTCATGCTTATGGTGCACACCACGCGTAGTGCCTCGCTCCACTAGCCTGGGCTGTGCACCATAGAGGCACATAATCCTCTTAATCGTCGATCATAGGTTTTCCTCACAACCAGACCCAGAATAGGTATTTAAAACACCGAAAAATAAAAGAAAAAGTTGGAGAAATAGGTTTAAGG